AAAGTAATATGTATAGCACATACCAATTTAGATAAAAATGAATAAACACATGCATATATACTTTTATATGCAAAAGAATGTTTCTAAAGAGATATATTAGAACAGAAGAGAGTGATTGTTCTGGGAAAGAACAAAAAAAACTAGGGGCTTGGTGTCACTGGAAGACTTTTCATTATTTCATTGTGTTGAATTTATTTTTCACATATTACATTTTAATTTTATATTTAATATACACTATTTAAAAGAAAAAATAGTATGATAAATATTACATGCCATGAGACAAGAAAAATAGCAGCTCAAAGAAAGCTTATTTAAGCAAGAAAACCTCACAGTAGTGAGCTTTGAATTGAGATTTTAAAGAGAGATTTAGCTGCATGGTGGAGGGATAACACATGCAGAAAGGGAAGGATAACATGGAGGTAGGAAGAGATATTCACTGTAGGGAAACCACTGATAGTTCAAAATTGATGAAGCATAGGGAGTTATTCCATTGACTCCCTATCTTACAAGCCTCATTTTCCCCCAAGGACAGATTGTGTCAGGGTAAGGAGTTGAAATTTTATTTTGAAGCATGGGGAGCAACTCCAAAGTCTATAAGGAAAGTGTAATATGATATGATTAGCTTTGCATTTCATATATATCATGATGGTACTTTGGACTACTGACTGACAAGGCGCAAGACAGGGAGGAGATACTTGTGCTAGATGACTGCTGCAATAATCTACAGGAGATGCCAATGTGGTGACTGTGAGGATAAAAGGGAGGAAATAGTAAGATATTAAGAAGGGTAGAATTAAAAGAACTTAGGTTCTTAGGAACAAAGGAGTATATGAAGTTACTTACTACAATTTCCTTTTTTGGCTTGAACAACTGAGCAGACAATGGGGCCAGCCCTTCAGTGTCAGGAAACATAAAAATGGCATAGATAAGAAAGAAAAGAAATGTTTAGTTCTGCTGTTGAGGTTGAGGGGCTTGGGGATGTTTAATAGATGACAGTGTGGGGGTACAGCTGAATACATATACATGTCTGGAACACAGGACAATGTTGAAGAAACAGACTTAGTTATTAGAAGAATAAAACTCGTAGTTGATGTCATGGGACTATTTCAGATCACCACAGGAGGAAGGCTATGAAGGGAACCACAATATATAAAAGGTGGAGTATATATAGAACGCCCCAAAGGAAAGCTAAGGAAGTACTCAGGAAGATTTCAGGAGTGAGTAGCCTCACAGAAGCCAATGGATGACAGTTTCAAGAAGGAACATACTCTTTCAGAGAAATCTAGAAAGACAGGAGCTGAAATGTGTTAGTGGTATTGAGAAACTAGATTACATACTGTATTAATGTGATGGAATTACCTAGTGCTTGTTTGAAGGTCAGATTTCTGGTCCCTGGTCCCTCTGAGCAGAAATTTGTGGGGATGGAAAAAGAATTTATGCATTTTTAAGAAGGTTTCCAGTGAATTACACCTTCAGGTCTGAAAACAACTATAGCAAATTGTAAACTCTTCAAGAAGAAGTATCTTGTTTGTTTAACTCCTCATGTATACTTAGTGTTCACCATAGCATCTGTCATATAATAGATCCTCAACAAATATTCAGTAATTTAAAAATGAGATGAACGAATGAACAGATAGATGAAAAGCTACTGAATGAAAGAACTAAAGAACTAATGTCTGCCAAAAACTTGGCAAGATTATTGGAGCTTACATTCTAATGGTACAGGGCAGATAATATACATGTGAACAGATGAACACATAAAATAATTTGCAGAGATCTGCTTTAGCTAGAGTAGTCAGGGAAAGCTGCTTTGAGGAGGTGGCATTTAAATTATCATTTAAATAATGAGAAGGTATTAACCAGTGATAGTCTGTGGACAAAACATTTCAGGCAGGGGAAGGTCCTAATGAGAAAAAGGGTGAATAAAGCGTGTTTAAGTAATAAAGAGACCTATGCGGCTACAGCTAAGGGAATGAGACAGAGAATGGGAGAACCGTGAAAGATGAGCCTGAAAAGATGGATAGGATGCTGATCATATAGGCTCTCACAAGTTGTGATCTATCGCTGTTTGGATGTTATTCTAATTGCAATAAGAACCCACTTACATTTTAAACAAAGTAGGGATATGATTTGATTTACACTTGAAAAATATCATTCTGATATCTATATAAATAACGGATCACGGCAGGGCAATGGTGGAAGTAAGCAGACCAGTTAGAGGTTGAGGTAGTATTCCAGACAAGAGGTGATTATGGTATGGTGGTAGTAGTAGAGACAGTGAGAAGAGCTTGGAGTTATAATAGAATATATTCTGGAAATAGAGCAGACAAGATCATGTTAATGAGTTAGATATAGCAGGTGAGGGAAAAAGGAGTCTAAAGAATTTGGATTTTTGCCTGTAGGCAATGAGGACTCATTTAAAGTTTTGATTGAGTGACACAAATACAGTAGAATATATTAGAACGATTATCTTGGGGCAAGAAGCAAACGAATTCTTTGGAAAATAAAATAGAAGGTAGAGGCAAATTTGGAGGTGTCAGTATTATTCTAGGCCTGAAGTAACAGGCATCTGAATTAAGGTGATGACAAAAGGAATGGCAAAAAAACGATGGATATCAAGGCTACCATCGAGTATGTAGAGATTGAATTTGTGGTATCTGTGGGCACTGAAGTTTCGCTGATAAATATGGACCACAAAGACTTGGGAGTCATCAGAATATAGCTAATAAAGTCAAGAGAGCGATTGAGATTACCTAGAAAAAGTTTCTAAAGGGAAAATGGAGCCTAAACTAGGAATCAGTAAAAGAGCAGGACTATCTAGAATGAAAGTAGAAAAACGAGGAAAGTGTGGTTCCATCAATGTAACTAGAAGCATTTCAAGATGCATCTGTAACTGGGAAATACGGACTAAGAAGTATCTATTGTGTTTGGCAAAATGGGTATCGTGAGTGATTTCGGTCACAGCTGTATCCGTTTAGAGGCAGAATGAGAAGACAGATTCCAGGTACTTGAGGCATCTCAGACATGAAGAAGTACTGACAATGAATACAGATAACACTTCTATGTATTTTGGTTTTGAAGCAAAGAAGAAAGAGAGGTAGTCAGAGAAAAACTAGGGTGGAGAAAGGGGGTCTTCAGGATGGGACAGTCTGTATTATGTTCCAATATTGATGTGAAGGAGACAAAGAGACTGAGAATGAAGACAGTCGAGGGGGTGGGTTGACTGCAATGTCTCTGAGAAGGCAGGTGTGAATGGGATCCAAGCACAGGTAGGGCCTTAGCCATATAAGGAAGAAAGAACACTTCTCCCAGTTACAGTAAGCAAGGATAGGTGTAGGTACAGGGAAATTAGTAGGGGTGGTGCTGGAGTTGGGAGGGAGGCAGTGCGATTTCTTATATCATGGCTCCTATTTCCTCTGTGAAGGAAGATGCGTCATCCACTTAAAGTAAGGGGTAAGCTGAAGGGATTTTAAATTTTAGGACAGTGGAGAAGGAATAAAATAGCCATTATGGAGAATGGGTAGAAAATAATTCTAGGGAAATGTAAGATTGCCAGAGCAAGTTGAGGAACTTGCTAAAGAATCATTGAATAAAATGAATTTTGCATTTTGTGTTTAAACATCCTATGGTAATACGAAGGTTAACTCATAATCAACATCATGGTGCTTCTCAAAACCTTGTTTCCCTTTTCTACAAAGAATATCAACACACTTAAAATCTAAACTTATGACTTCAAATTTTGGAAATAGCTCTTTTGGCCAATACTTTGGCTAATGCCAGTCTCTCACTTCTGAATTTTTCTTTCATTTCCATAAATCTATACAATGTTTTGGTAGAAGCTAAATTTAGTCTGATGGCAGTGAACAGATGTAAACATGATATAATGGAGCTACAGAACAAATTGCTGTGAGAAAAGTCCTATCAGATAAGCATAGAAAGCAACCATGTTCCATAAATTGACTTAAATAAATGACACCAAATTATCTAGAAACCAAATACAATTTGTCACAATTATATAATCATTTCATTTTTCTTTTAATCTTTACTATCTGCCTGGAATACACTAGATGCTTAATAATAATTATTAAGGAATTAACACTATAAAAAATAACATTTCAGAGATTTCTAGGCATTTGGTACATATTGATTGATAAACCATAAAATAATCAATTACAAATAACTCCCCCAAAAAGGTAAAACCCATAAAGGTACTGAAAAGTGTAACTGCTAACAGTTCATATTCACAGCAATGGTATTAAAACAGCCCAGAGACAATATTGATGAATTAAGAGCATGGGACAAGAAAACGATAACTTGTTAAAAGAGATAGGTTCTTTCATAGGAGAGAGATTTTCTTTTTTCCATCATCATGATAGAATATAAATACCCCACATAGTGTAATAATTAAACATTCTAGTTAATGATGCATTGCCATACTAAACATAACATTTGCTCTAAAACTCTAATAAAATATAGTACATTGAATAGAAAGAGTACATGAAAACAACTGAATATTTAATGTTTAAAACATGTTTAGGGTTTCACAATAAGAAGTTAAGTAGAGTAATTTGAAATCTTAGGATAATTTTTTTTTTACTATGCTGCAAGTCAATTTCTTAATTGGTAAAAGAGAAGGGGTTACATTAATCTCTAACTCCTGTTTCTGATGACAAAGCATGTGATCACACAAACTATCAGATACTTTAATAGTATAGCACATTTTATATAGAATATAGTGTTCATTTTAATAAAAATAGACTTTCTGACAGAGCACTTTCTTTTTAGGTATAACTGTGTCATATTTGGGTTAACAAGTTGGTAATTAATTTTTATAATTTAAACATTTTCATTTCCATTTGAAGTTTATTTTTTTCATAAATATACTACAAATGTATTTGATTTTTTCTAAAATAAAATAAATTTTGTAATCATTATATCATGGCATTATTTTGTTTTCTCCTTTAGATGACTGTATTTTGAGATCTAGTATAAATTCTTACCTCTATGAGATATGGCTCCATTTGATCCAGGGTTTTCCCAAGATGCTTATCAGGATCTAAGCCTGCCAAGAAAGGTTAAAGTTTTTAAAGATAACTATCAGATAGGAACTTTAAAGACACATTCCCTTTCCCTTGGCCCCTCCTTGCCTAGGAAAGCAGTGTGTATATATTTTAATTGCTTTGATCATAAAGTAAAATGTACTTTGCTAGTATTTACTTTTCTATTCCCCGTGGGTAACTGGTTTTATTGCTTCTGAAAAGTAAGTTTCCATTTATTTCAATTGCACTGTGTCAACTACCAGATGCATTGTTTCAATTCCTTTATTCATTTTGAGGATAGAAAAATGTCTGGAATTTTAGGATAGAAAAAAAGAGTATCATTTCAAATACCTAAACTTTTAATTCTTTATATTTTAATGGTTACGGTTTATTTTACTGATGGACAACAGCATTAATTTTTTGATTTATCCCTATTTTATTTAAACTTCAAACTTCTTACTTAGACAATAAGAGTAGAAAATAGCAGTAGACTGTTATGCTTAAGTATTAATTCACTTAATAGTAGCATACGGGCACAAATAATTGCATTATTAAATTAAATGACATTTCATTTCAATGACTCCTTTGCAACAATGTATTTTTCAAGTAAAGATACAGACAACTCTGAAAAATCATCACTGTGCCAACAGCACGTGCATAACCTTTAATAAAGATATTAAACTGACATAACAGTAGCGTTTACATAGGTGATGGAGTGCGGGAGACAAGTGTGAGCTACATGAATGCTTTCTATACACCAAGACTAATTAGCCAGGAAAAAAATCACATGTCACAAGTCGGCCATGAAATAAATGAATTCATTTTGGATATTTACATTCATATTTACATATATTGGCCTAGCTTCATTTACAAAAGTTAATGTAATGAAAGGCAATACTATAGTGCAAAGACAGTTTTGTCAACAAATGGTGTGAAATAACTGGATATCCATCGGCAAAAAAAAAAAATGGATCTAGACACAGACTTTACACTCTTCACAAAATTAACTTAAAATAGATTGTAGACGTAAAGGTAAAATGCAAAATTATAACATTCCTATAACAGGAAAAAAATCTAGATGGCCTTGGTTATGGGGTATTTTAATACACCCCACCAGAAGCATTATCCATTAAGGAAACAATTAATAAGCTGACTTCATTAAAATTAAAAACCTCTGCTCTGTGAAAGACAATGTAAGAAGAATAAGAAGAAAAGCCATAGACTGAGAGAAAAGAACATCTGATAAAGGACTAGTATCTAATGTACACAAAGAACTCTTAAAACTCAACAATAAGCAAACAACAATCCAATTTAAAAATGGGCAAAAAGACCTTAACAGACACCTCACTAAAGATATATCGATGGTAAATAAGCATATGAAAAGATCCTCCACATCATATGTCACCAGAGAAATGCAAATAAAACAAGAAGATACCACTACACACCTATTATAGAGGCCAAAATCTGGAAAACTTACAACACCAAAGGCTGGCAAGGATGTAAAGCAATACTATTGCTGATTGGAATGCAAAACGGTACAGTCACTTTGTAATGGGAATACATGTAAGACAGTTGGGCAGTTTCTTACAAAACTGAACATATTCTTACTAGATGATCCAACTATGGTGTTCCTTGGTGTTTACCCAAAGGTATCAAAACTTTTGTCTTCACAAAAACCTGCCCATGGGTGTTTATAGCAGCTTTATTCACAATCGTGAAAATCTGGAGCAACCAAAATGTCTTTCAGTAGGTGAATGACTAAGTAAATTGTGTACATCCAGACAATGAAATATTACTCAGTGCTTAAAAAAAAAAAAAAGCTGCTATCAAGCCATGAAAATACATGGAGGAAATGTACATGTGTATTACTAAGTGAAAAAAGCCAATCTGAAAAAGCTACATACTGTATAATTCCAACTATATGACATTCCGGAAAAGAAAAAACTATGAAGATAGTGTACATCCAGACAATGAAATATTACTCAGTGCTTAAAAAAAAAAAAAAGCAGCTATCAAGCCATGAAAATACATGGAGGAAATGTACATGTGTATTACTAAGTGAAAGAAGCCAATCTGAAAAAGCTACATACTGTATAATTCCAACTATATGACATTCCGGAAAAGAAAAAACTATGAAGATAGTAGAAAGGTCAGTGATTGCCAAGGGTTTTGGGCAGGGGGCAGTCAAGGTTAAACAGGCAGAGCACAGAGGATTTGTAGGGTAGAAAAATACTCTGTATGATACTGTAATGATGAATACGTTATTATACATTTGTCAAAACCCATAGAACGTACATCCCAGCAGTGAACCTTAATGTAAACTATGAACTTTGGGTGATTATGATGTGTCATTGTAAGTTCAACAATTTTAACAAATGTACCACTCTAGCAGGGGAGGTTGATAATGGGGGAGCTCATGCGGTATGGGGTCAGGGTATGTGGAAAATCTCTGTACATTTCTCTTAATTTGCTGTGAACCCACAACTGCTTTAACAAAATAAAATTTAAAAATTTGGTAAAGTTTCCTTGTGGTCTAGAACATGATCAGATTTTATAAATGCTCCATCTGTGCTTGAATGAAAGTGTGTTTTCTATCTGTTGAAAGCAAGATTCTGTACCCAAACACATAAAATCATGACCATACTTGTTAATTTTGCTCTTCAAATCTTTTATGGCCTTAAAAATTTTTGATATCCATGAACCATCAGTTTCTAATAATAAGGTAAAAAAAAACTCCCATTATGATTTTGGTTTTAATAATCTCTTCTTATAATTCTGTCATTTTTCCTTAATATATTTGAGAGCTATGTTGTTATATGTGCACAAACTCATAATTTCTAAAACTTTTTGAAAGAATTACTCTGCTTATTAAGAATTAGTGACTTTTTCATCTCCATCAGATTTTTATCTTGTAATCTGTATGTCTTCTATGAACATTGCGACACCAGCTTTCTTTTGTTAATCTTCCATATATATTTTTTCCATTATTTGTTCTCAAATTTTTTGTATTGTTGTAGATGCCCACATATAATTGGCTTTCTTTTGTTTCACCCAATCTTATAAATATGACCCTAAAGAACCAAGTTTAATAATTTTATGTTATATGGCTGGACCTGCTTCTAGCATCTTAGTATAAATTTTCTGTTACATTAAGCTTTATATCTTTTTCTTTTTTTTCTGCCTCATACTGAGTTGAAAATTATTTTAATGTTTTACTCTGCTAATTAGAATGCTATAGAGTGAATTTCTACTTTTCAGATAATCATCTGTGAATTTTTGCATACATTCAAAACCATAGTTTTAAAGTCTTAATGTATTAACTCTCTTCAGCATCCTTTAGACCAGAACTTAGTATGTTTTAACTAGACACTACACAGGCTTCACCATTTCAGTTATCATTGTGTTGAATTTTTTTCCATTATTTTTAGCAAGAAAAATTAAGGTTATCAACATAGTTTACAATGTTTATGCTCACTATTGTTTGTCATTCATTTCTCCTTGAATCAATCTATTTCTAACTGAAGTTTGTTCTTTATTCTTTCACTGAAGATCTGTGAGTGGCATATTCTCCTAGTTTTTACAGGTCTCATAATGTCTCTATGTTTCTCTCACAATAGTTTAGTTGCAATATGTTACTTTTGGCATTTGCGGTTCCTAATGAAAATTATGATGTCAGTCTGATAGCGGCTCCCATATAAGGAATCTTTATTTTCTATATGCTAGATTGTACAATTTTCAACATACCTATGACACAATTTTCAACATACCTACTACAGTTTGCAATCCTAATTCAAGGTGTCCAGGCATATGTTTATTTTAATTAGTACTGGACAGCACCTAATGTGTACTTTCAATTCAAAAACTCATGTCTTTCTTCAAATCTAGAGTATTTTCAGTTATATCTGCTTTTCTGCCTTCAATTTTTTCCTTGAAACACGTATTATACAAATACTGCAATTTCCCAATCTAGCTTCCATATTTTTTAATTGCATTTTCTATTTTTTTCCTCTCTCTGTGGCTTTTTCTATTTTTTTGCTCTCTCTATGCCTTCTTGGTGAATTACTTTTTCTCTTTTTTTCCGCTGCACTCATTCTCTCTTTGACGTGACTAGCATTTATTCCGCCCACTGAGGGTTTTTTTCATGACTATGTTTATGTTTCATTTCTAAAATTTCTAATTGGTTTTCATATCACTCTGTTACTGCTTCATTCTGGGCGATTTATTTTTCTAATAACTACTTTTTTAAACAAATGGATTTTATATTTTTCTTGATCTCTCTGAGGTTCTCCCTCATGTAGGGCACTTCCCATTTCTGTTTCCCCACAGGACATGACCGCCCAACTGCTTCTGCCTGCTTCCTGGATCCCTACATTACAGTGCACAACTTCAGTCCTGTTCACTACTTTCTGTCTTTTCATTTCTAGCTAACAGAGATGTTTACAATGTTTTCCAGCACAATTATGTTTTTCACATTTTTCCTTCTTATATTTATCTATGACTGCCATGGGTTTGGGAAATTTGTTAAAATCCAAAGCATGAATATACAAGGTCAGCATGGCTGGAAGTCACTTTTTAGCTTTCCCTCCAACTCTGTGTGTGTGGTGTGTGTGTGTGTGTGTAACAACACATACATATATCACAGTCAGCATTAGGGCATCATTTAAAAAGTCTCCCATGATTGAATCTGAGAATTTGTGTTTTGCATTCTATGCATGAGCCTGGAAGTAAATATATGCAAATATATGCCTGTAAGGCATAAAAGGGAATTTAAGAGCATACAGTTTTACACAGGTAGGCACCATAAGATCTCATTTTTCTTGCAGTCTTTTAATTCATCGTAGAGTATCAAGCCCCAGTTCAGAATTATTAAAGTATAGAAATAGCAGTTATATCTCATTTCAGAGATGTCTGTATTCCACAGTGGATAAAGTCATTTGGCTTGCCTTTAAATATGAGTCAGTAAATAATGTAAAACACCCTGAACACACTTTCCACATGAACCTGTGGTCTTCACACAGTTACA